ATATATATATATCTCTCTCGTCGAGGGAAATCATCGACGACGTCGATGGAGGTGACTTCCGTGCGAGCGGGAGAACGTCGGCTTCTCTCTCCTTTGCGTATCCGCTTTTCGGACTAATAATTTCGCCGACAACTTCCGGCCTATGATTGCCTAGGAAACTGCTAATGCGCGCACGCCCTACATGCATCCCGATGCAATCGGCGAGAGGGGAGGTCTGGGCATCGAGTGTATCGACGAGAGTAAAGGACGAGGAAGGGGGTGGGTGGATCGGGCAAGGGCAAGGGCGCGGATATTCCTATATGAATACACTCTAATATAACGCGAAAACGTATATATCGAGATTGCCTCGTAATCTCGTAATCGCGTTCGACGGAACGGACGGCGGAAATTCTCCCCTCCCCCCTCCCCCCCTTCTTTCCCTTTCGGGACGTAACCGCGCGGAAATAGCTCGCAGATGCGACGACACGAATATGTAAACACACGTAATATCGCGAATCCTATCGAGGATCGCCTCGATAATCCTACAACGGGATTCGATCTGACAACGAGACGTGGACCCAGGGAAATGGGAAGAAGGGGGGAAACGGGGGAGGGGATCTCCCTTCGTTTCTCGGGGTATAACCGCATGGAAATGGCTCGCAAATATGAGGGCGCAATTATGTAAACACACGTAATATCGCGAATCGTATTCGAAATTGCCTCCATAATCCCATGATCGTTCCATGATTTGACTTGACGATGAAGCATGCACGCGCGCGCGGAGAGAAAAGTCCCCTTTTCGAGGAATAACTGCGTGGAAATAACGTGGAAGTAGGGGAAGGGAATGAGGGGATGGGGCGCGAAGGGAGTAGGCGCGCACCGAGATTGCTTCCGGTTTTGCATCGTCGCTAATCGACGAGCATCTTTGACGTTAGACAAATCGCGAAAATGCGGAAGAAATCAAATCGACGTTTTATCTCATTCGACTATCTTATTACGCGAGGAAAGCAGGAATTAATGTCAATTGGCGATATTTAAAGTGAGAAGCGACGAGTGTGTGCGCTTTCCCCTCTTTAAGATGTATAATTTTTGTACACTATGTGAAATCTATTTCCTCTCGAATCCCCTTATTAATAATAAGAATCGTAGATTGAAAGATGCGTGATTTGTTTGGGAAATACTGTATATTTAATGAAAAGAAAATTAATGGAAAAATTCAATTTAACATTTTATGATTTTATGAGACTTTTATATAAGTCTCGCGCTAATCATCTTTCCATAAAAACGTGGAAAAAACTTGGCGATCAAGATTTATAGCAAAAGAAAGAGTAGAAGCTAATATATATAAGCTTTTTTCCTTTTTACGCTAATATACTTTACCCTAATAATTAAATTTCTATCTTTAAAAAAATGAATAAATGAATAATAAATCGTTCTATCGCGTGATATTTATTCAGTATAAATATTTAAATATCACACGTTTATAAAGAATTTAAAAAATATGTAAATTTTTTAATAACTTGATAATTTTTTTCATGAAATATATTTGCAGTTTTTTTATATTTTATATTATAAAAAACATATAAAATAGAGAATTTATAATTAAAAAAATAGTTCGAAAAATGTATAATATTATTTTCTGGAATAATAATTTTAAAAATTTCATTTTTGCCTAACAACTCTCCTTAATAACTTCTTTGTAATTTGATAATGTTAACGCTTGGTATTCCTACCGATAATTGCCGCACCTCGGTGAAGTTCATTATGACAAGATGCTAATCGGTCCATTCGAAGTCCAGCGATCCAAGAGAGAACGGGATTTTGAAGTATATTATTTGCACTCTTGATTGAAGAGCAATTTTCGTAAACAAATCGATCTTTTTCGTATACCTTCCACGTCGCGAATCGTCCTATCGATTGTTTCGCGTCATGCGCCGCTCTCGGCGATACGATCGTTGAAATTTCAAAGACACAAATCGAAGTCGGATCGTCACGAGTTTCGTTTTCGACTTGGATGTCGCGCGTTAATCAGGCGCGATCGATTTTCGACAAGGGCGAGAAACAACGAATCCTCGCTCGTGCTGTCTCGACGCGGCACGTCCTTCCCTTCGACTTTCCCTCTCGTTCGTTTCGTCTTTTACTTTCTCCGCGAGTCGCCCCCGAAAATCCCGCCAGTCGAATGGAAATCGGGAAGATTTTTATCGCCACTCTCTTATCCTTTCGTAAATCCCGGTACGACGGAGCAAGTGAAAAGTCTCGAGTCTCTCGTTATTGCGTTTTCCCGCCCTCCGCGATTACTTGGAACGTCAAGCGAGGATCAACGAGAATCGACACTTTCTTTTCATCATTTTGAATCCCGCGATCTTGTGACGCTTTTCGCGATTTGACAGATCGTTCCACGGAATCTCGCGAATTTTCCGGTCACAAAGAAAGAGAGAGAGACGCACTTCTTATTACCCCGTACGTCGAAAAGACAGGGGAAAGCTCCTCGCGAATTATTTCTCAGAATCTCGCGAATGTTACGAGAGTCCTGCGAAAACTCTTGGATTCGCGAATGCGAGATAGAGAAAGAGAGAGAGAGAGAGAGAGAGAGAGAGAAGATGGTTTTAAGCGGCTCGATGTAACCCGGAGACACCCTTGCACGTCTCGCTTTTAATCCCGTTCCCTCCCAACCCTTCCTCGATCGACGATCGATTCCGTTTAACGGGGAACGCTACTTCCGGGGGGCGCGAGAGTCTCTGTCGTTTCTCCCGTGGACGATTGGAAGTCTGGAAATTCCCCCCGTGTTTTCCGGAAGTCGTAGGGAAGCGAAAGATAACGCGTGAGCGGGGGTGACGTCGCGCGATCGCAGCCGTCACAGCACGACTGGCCGAACGGGCCGGAACGAGCGGGCCACCACCCCCTTCTCGAGCCGCCGCCACCCTCTCTCTTATCCCGTCTCTCGCCGACAGTGCCGTACGTATAATTCTCCCCCCTTTATGCAATCTTTTTTTCTTTTTTTTTTTGCCGCCCTTAATTTTCCGAGTCCGCAAACCCCGCGGCGAAGCGAACGCGGAACGCTCTCCCTCGAGTGAAATTTTCCGGAGCAAAAGGCACGTGTCGACCTCTCGAGCCGCCCTTTTTCCACTCGTTCCCTTTCCTCGAGTCGTCATCCGCCTAGGGACAAGAGCCGAGGTGAAGAGCGTTTCTCGGCGTCGCGTCGTAGACGACGTCGTTAAGATTTTTCCTTTTGCCTCCTTTTGCAGTCTTTCTCTCTCTCTCTCTTCCTTGAAGCGAAGGGTGGTAAACTTACTTGAAACACATACTGAATGCGTTACCCGACTCTGAGCTCGAAACGCGAACGTGAGAATTTCTCTGGTCTTTGTTGATAACACGCTCGTCGGAGGGAAAATTGAATTTTGACATGACGGTGTCAAGTATCATCACGCGCGCGGCTACGGTCGATTAAAGAGTATGGTATTGTGTCCCAAAAGAGATAGATATTCACGAGAGAAAAAGAAGCAGACACAATCTCGTTGCTTAGAAAGCTAGAGAGAGCGAAGAAAAGAGACAAAATCAAATTTACAAATCAAATCAATCATCGCTCTCTTCTTACGAAAGATATACAAAATAGCTGTATTATGTGCTTTGATATCGTATAAATGAATCTTTAATTTTACATTACATCCATTATGCTTGAGTTTTTTAAATTTTATGCAAATAATTCAACAATGTACAAATATATAAGTTATACAAAATCTTTTGAAAGCAACAGAATTTATTGTCATTGCGCTGATATATGTCTTATGTTAGCCAATTTTAAATTGATTTCTTTTCAACGAATATGTCGGGACTCCCTGTAGTTTTTTTTTTTTAAATTATATAACGATTAAAATTATAAGTTTTTTCTGACGAATTAAACTCACTTTAAGAAAGAAATAATTGGATTAAGTGTAAATAAAATTTTCTGATTTTCGAGAATTAAAAGCTCAAAACAATTTTTTTAATTTTCGAAAAATCTACAAGTTTCTAGAATAACGAAAATTGATAAATCAAGTAACTTATGGATTTTTAAGAAATCTCGAATTTAGTCGTATCTTCTCAGAGTCTTCGTATATAAAGATATTATACTTTTGGAATTTTTATATTCTTTTATGTAAATAGCCGAAACTTGAAATTTCGACCCGCGATCTCATATCTCTCTCCGTCGTCGGATCATTGCGTGCTGCAAATAGAAACGTCATGCTGCACAAAGTCCAGCAATAGGGATAAGTCATTTTATTGATCCGGGCTTAATATCGCGCTCGTAGGCTACCTGCTCGCTCTGCTTGCTGAGTTTTCTCTTTTCACGGTGGAAATATATATGTATAGGCATACGTGTTACGTATATATGTATACGTATGGCATATATCGATGGTATCGTACGCGCGCAAATACGTAAAACAGATAATGAAAATGTCAATATAGCAATGGGACGCGCGATCTACGCGATGCGTCTTCCACGCACGCGACTTTTCGCATATTTTGAAATTCCCTGCTAAATATTTGGATGCATGAGACGTTATGTGTAAATTCATATCTTTCATTTCGCGTTATCGAGTGGAAGACTCGATTATGAATCGCGTTATATAAAATATCCAGAGCGTCTCATGACTTTAAAATTTATTCGACGGATTTTTGAACGCGTATTTAGAGTCGATTTTTCATTTCTTATTGTAAGTCCTGTCGATTCCGCGTTACAAATTGTTGTAATTAAATCTCGAATTAAAATCCTTTTAAATCCTACGAAAGCTTTCTTGATAGAATCTCCTTAACAAATCGGGAATCTTGACTTTTTAATTACTTATTACGGATCTCTACTTTCTAATATTGTATGTCTTTATAATTAAACTATTAATTAAAATTCTTTCAAAATTTTTATTTTATTGACAGATTCTTTCAACTCGATGTAAATTTTTTATTATTTTTATAAATTTTTAGTTTTAACGAATATATATCTTTTTTAATCGAACTTTGAATTAAAATTTCATTAAACAATTAATGTTTTGATGAATTGATAGCTTTTCTAATACATTTAATAAATTTTAAATCAATTCTTCATTCTTTATTATAAGTTTTCGTTAAAATGTTATATTGACAAATTTTTCACACACATAAAATTTATATTCGATTTTCCACTATTATTGTGATTTTCCAATTCATTGTATATCGTACGTGAAAAGTTCTAAAATTTATAGCACGTGAAAAATTTCAGAATCTGCTTATTAGTTTATATTTTTTCAAAAATTATATGTTTTCAGAGACATTAGGTATTTCGATTCAACTTAAATCCTGCCAGATAGATTCAATTGAGACAATTTCGAACAAGTTTATACATTTCTACTGAAAATCAGAGATCGTATCTTTTTGGGAATATTATCCGTATTAGAGTATTTAATGTGTCGAGATTTCGAGGCTATTGCGAGGAGCCTCTGTTACGAAATGCGAATCGGGGCTCGCGAGGGATTATACGTAGGAAGATTGACGGTAGGAAATGGAACGCCGTGGCAAATACGACAATGGACACATAGAAATAGAGAAAGAGAGAGAGAGAGAAAGAGAGAGAGTGCTCTGGCATGAAAAGCTCTCTTCGCTCGGGGCACGAAGCTATTTCACTTAATATGGATGCGAAGAAAATGCATATCGCGAAGCTCTGTTACGCAAATCTCTTCATCATATCCAGATTTTCCTATTTTATTACGAAATCCCGGAGAGAGAGAGAGAGAGAGAGAGAGAGAGAAAGAGAGGAGAGAGGAGAGAGAAGAAAGAGAATGAATAGGTTCCTATTCTTAGGCGACGTACAATCGTGTAACTTATCGTGTTACATGTTCCTTACCGATACGTCACGTACAAATATAATACTTTTAGCCGCAACCGGAATTAGGTCGCGAGAAAATATCGACGGCGCGCGCCGTAATTAGGATAAGCGTTGCAACGTGGGATATCAAGAAAGAAGAATGACTTTTTCTCGCGTATCGTGTGTGTGTGTTAGTTCTCAGATGAATTTTAATTTTAGACAATCGTACTTTTTGTATTCCCCGAAATAAGTATATTCGCTATCACACAGGTTCACGCAATAGATTTGCACAATCAAAGACAAACAATCATTATCGCGTGACTTAAAAACTGCGATGATTATTATTATTATCCTCGGATGAAACATTGATTTGTACTCGAGCGCGATTCGCGTAATCGATGATGATTCAATTTCGTTTCCTCGCGTATCTGTTTCCTGTTAAGATTATGATTTCCATCAAGCGTCATTAATTCTATTAAGAGCTTTCGATACTAAGAATATCGATAAAGAAAATTCATAAAAATTTATTATACAAGTTTTTAAAGGAATAATTTTACTCGCATTGCTTTTTATACAAGAGAGAAGAGAAGGACCTATTTTTTATATTCTAATATCGATTATTTTTATACTTTATTATTAACGCTCTGTAAATTATATTTTATTATAAATTTACTATATTAAATGTTTTACTTGAAATCCGTTTAACTGTTACAGCAATATGTTTTCATGTCTGAAACACGCGATACGTGCCGAGCATCGATATTGCCCTTTCTGGGATTTAATCGAGATCGGAAAATTCCGATTTGTCGCGAAAACAGTCATCGATTCAACGAAAATAAAAATGCGCCCGTTAATTAAGCCGTCGACCTACATCGCGATATCGTTCTTAATCTGTACCGTAAAATTGATCAATATTAGGCGTTGATTATTAATCGCTCTTCTCGCCGTGTATAATTATTGCGAATGTCGTCGTCGTTTATTCCGCGAAATAAAATCCATTATAAACGTTTGTATCGATTAATTCTAAACTGCCAAAACGCAATTCTCTTTTATATCCAATTAATCGCGAGATTATTCTTCACATATACTTTACCTTAAATAAAGAGAATCACAAACAGACGAAGAAATTTACATTTTAGAGAAATTTTTATTTTGAAGCTAAAACTGGCATTTATTCTAACTTCGAATTAGCTATGAGAAGTTACATCACGATATCTCAATCGTGCTCCTTTGTTTCGGGATCATTGATCCTCGCGCACGTGGAGTTGAATCGTGAGCGTCTAACAGTAGATTTTTATACTTCCGATACATCTGATTATCTTTTTAGAACGAGATGGAATTGAATAGAGAGAGATGCGAGAACGTGGGTCGAATAAATGGGACGATCTTGTTATTGATTTTCGTTTCTATAAAAGCGAGTAGGAGATATCGCACGATCGCACGACATTGGTTTCTTCGAACGAGTTTTTCTCCAACGAATTTCTTTTCCCTAAGAGAGAAAGGTTGCAAATAGCAACATACCAGGTACCTTGACTCATTTTCTCAAATTTGCCTTGAGATGCCAATAAGTCGTCCATGCGTGTGTTGACCGATAAGATAACGTCGAAGTCGCATCCTCATTGTATGTCTCGCTCTGATAAGAAAAAAATAATAATTTAGATAGGAACAAATGTAGGCAAACAGAATCGCATGATTGCGTCGCGAGAATTTATTTCAAACGTAAATACGGAACGTCGCAAAAAAAATGCGGTTCCGATATATATATTGAGATATTAAAAATATTGATTATTTCATATATTCTAAAACATGTTGATATTTTTCTTTTAATTATATTATTGCGTGCAAAGTGAGATACGAGACATTATATCAAAAATAATATCTCAGTTTTCCGGAGTGTACATAATCACATATCATAGGTTTTTATAGTATATATAAATTATCACATTATATTTCTACACTTATATAATACATATATTTAAGGAATAATGTGTTTAGAAAGAGAGAAAGAAAGGGAGGAAGAGAGAGAGAATATTTTGTGCAGAAATTATTATTTTATAGAATATATAAATGTGATTATTTGCCATAAAATTCTCTCTCCCTCCCCCCCTCTCTCCCCCTCTCTCTCTCTCTCTTTCTATTATCATTCTAATATTCAAAATAATATTTCAAGCTATTTCAAGTGTCCTCATCGCAGATCATTATTTACATGTAGAATAAATAAAAAGACCAACATCATGTATTGTGATAACAAATAAACTCAATTAAACTTTTTGCGTCTCTCAAAGTAAGAGTAGCTCGTTTTAAAACTGCGTTTAAAACGAAGAGAGTACCTTTGATCGACTAGTTTCGATGCATCGCATTCGTTGTCGACGATTATCAACCGCGATCCGCCATGGTGGGGACTCTTTGAATTCGACGCGACGCGACGACGGAGACGACGATGTTCCTCTCGCCGGGTTCCTCCAGGTTCCTCGAAACGATGAAGAATCGATCGTTTCTCGTAATCTTCGACACGTCGCACTCATCGCTTCCGCCCGTAATTTCTCAAGATCGCGTTCGAAACCACTCGGGATACGCGTCGCGCGCGACCGTTGCACCGCGCGTCATACAACCGATGCGCATGCGCGACCAGCTGCACCGCGCGCCATACAACGACGCGCATGCGCGCGCCCCTTGACGTCGCCGTTTGACCTAGATGGGACACTTTCGAGTCAAACTCTGCACCCTAGCTAACTTGTTGCCGATTGGCTGAGATTCTTTTGACCGAGAATGGCGGAACCAATCGGAAGTTTTGGCGTCTAAATACGTCGAGGATCGGGGTGTCAAGTGTCAGACCGGTCAGACATTGCTGTTGCTGGCGTCTCGTAAAATCGTAGAATCAATCGGCGGCGCGCGCGACAGGTCGGTCAGTCGGGAAGATGTAATATATCGCTCGCCCTTTCTCGCTTCTGTCTTTTTGCCGACGAGATACCGCGGAGCATCGTCCGCGCGACTCCTCCGTTCGAGAAACACATATATATCCTCAAACATGAACGGACAGGTGCATTCGTCGCGGGAGAGGTTAGGTAAGTAAGCGTCACGCTGTTTACTCTATCTTGGAAGTCAGCTTTTAACTGATCTGAACATTTTAGCCGCGATATTTCTGCATTTTTTTTCAGCTTCCTGTCCTTCCTTTCCTTTGACAGTCTCGATTGTTGTATATTTATTTCACTCTGGATGCAAAAGTTTAACGCGACGCAAAGGGCGTGCTATGTGCTTGTATAGGTATTATATCTTCTGCAAAGTTAGATAATAAACGTTACGAGGATGATCGTGCGATAAGACAGAATCTTGTCTTATGTGAAAATTTGGATCGTCCTTGGTGGTGTTGCTTTTCAAGACACATTTGTTTAAATGTTTATATAACATTTATCATACGATTACTTTGCAAAATTTATTACGTTTGTGTCAAGCAATAGAATTAATGGGAACAAACAGACAAATTCTTTTTTTAAAAAAAGAGATAAATTTACCTGTTAACGTTAGCTATTTTTATCATTGTTTTGTGTGTTTGGACATTTAATCCATATAAAGTGCTATCGTAAGCTAAATAATCCGCTGACACCTATACTCTAGTTACAGTTACCTATACAGTTACATGCTAAACACTTTACAAACAAGATAAAAGTGCAAGGAAGGCAAAACTCTTAATTTATTTACTTTGATGATTTATGTGTTATAACAGTCGGCAGATACTAATTGCAGAGCCATTTGTAGTCTGGATTATTTGAACATGAGCCAGGTGTTAACAGAATAGTATAAATAACAACTTTAATAAAATGATACACAGGAAAAATGATATAGATGAGAAACAAAAGAATTAGAGAGTAATTTATATAATTAATATGTAAAATAGAGATAGAGATAAACTTAAAGTTAAGGGAAATTAAAAAATAATTAATAGAGAAAAATATAATATATAAAAGATATAACACAGTAAATAAAATAATAATATATAGTAAAGTATTATTGATCAAATTATAATGTTACTATCAAAGATCTCTGGTCTACGAAAACGAGTCAAAATGCGTTCTTTTATTGTATTATGTCTTTATCTTAACAAAATACATTAAAGATGTCAGACACAGAATAATATCTAAATATCGGATGCTGTGCCTTAGGTGGTTTCGGTCCCGGCAGTTTTGGACTATTTTCCGGGATGATCCCAGATCGTGTACCGGCTATACAAATTCCTATCTCGGATCGTGGTTTTGGATCATCCGAGATGCCATTGGACGACGCTATGGCCGCTACGGAGGTCGACAGCAGAGTCAAGACTAAATTGCTCTCCATGTGGAACAATGTTAAATATGGTTTGTATGCTCGATTAGACAATTGACAATATTTTATATTTCAAACTTTTCTGTGTCATAAAACATAAAGAGAGATAGACTAGATTATATAATATTAATTTAATATCAATTCTCATAACACACATAAAAGTTCTAATATAAAAATTGTCTTTTTGTAATAAAGGCTGGACAGTGAAGATAAAGACAAACTTCTCTAAAGAATCTCCAGTATGGTTGCTGGGTCAATGTTACCTGAAAAAATCGGAGGATCCCTTGGAGAGGGCGTCGGAAGCTCTGGAGCCGGTTGGAACAGGGAGTCAGGTTTCCTTGGCGATGGACGCCACCAACTTCGAGAATACGATAGAGGAATTTAAGAGAGATTTTGTATCACGCATCTGGTTAACATATAGACGAGAATTTCAGACACTGAACGGCTCCACCTTCACCACAGACTGCGGCTGGGGCTGCATGCTGCGCAGCGGGCAAATGATGCTAGCGCAAGCGTTGGTCTGCCATTTTCTCGGACGGGGTAATTATTCTTACTTTTTAAGTTTATTTCGTCAAACCGGTGCAAAAAATTTCTCTTGGTTATCTTTTAAATTTTGCCTATAATCATGTTATCAGTTTATTTTCTGTTGTAAATAGGGAAAAACGAAATAAAAGTCTATCAAAATTAACGATAGCTTTTTTTATATAATTTAAAAAGGATAAATTAAAGTAAAAACCAATTAAATTATATTATTATAAATAAAAATTATAAGTTTTCAATTTTGTAATTTTCGATAGTTTTCGATTTTATTCAATGAGTACAACAAATTGCTTGCATAAATCTGACTGCTATTGTGTTATGTATGGCTGAATAAGTATTTTTTTCTGCTTCCAGAGTGGAGATGGCGATCGGAACAACCGATGGACACTCTTCAAGAGATGCTGGATGACCGTAATCATCGAATGATTATTAAGTGGTTTGGCGATCAATCAGAATCTCCGTTCTCCATACATAGACTCGTACTGCTGGGTGCTGCCGCGGGAAAACGTGCGGGCGACTGGTACGGTCCCTCCTCGGTCGCGCATCTTTTGAGTCAGGCTGTGGAATGCGCAAGCAAGCAACCCGATAGTAAACTCGACCAATTGGCAGTATACGTTGCACAGGATTGTGCAGGTTAGAACCAATAAATACTGTATGTAAAATGTAACAAAAATGTATCATTCTTTTTGCAAAACATCAATTTTGTTCAAAATTTTGCATTTTGCCAAATTTGATAGAAAATTCTGTACTGAATTAACGATTAAATTAAACATTTTCTAGTATATTTGCAAGACGTTGAGAGTGTTTGTCGCACTCCCGATGGTAAATGGAAGGCGCTGGTGCTGTTGGTGCCTCTGCGACTCGGCGCCGACAAACTGAACACCGTCTACGCGCCCTGTCTGACATCGTTACTAACATTGGATACGTGTATCGGCGTAATCGGCGGTCGACCGCGACACTCGCTCTATTTCATTGGCTATCAGGATGATAAATTGATTCATCTGGATCCGCATTATTGTCAGGTGATTTTTCAATCTTTTAAATTAAAATATATACAAATATTATTTTATAATATTTAGATACTTAAACATACAATTTTTTCCGCTAAAGTTGATTATCTTTAAAACTTTTTTCTTCATTATACTTAACGGTTCATTTTTCTTTATTTTATCTCATTCAGTTTACGCTTCATATATATCGTATATTTATCACATTGAATCATTCTGTAATTATATTATTTACGTTTCTCTCTTTACATTCTATTAATTGCTCGGCAAAAATTTTATCATAGAATATATTGGATATTGTATTACTCGCTTGCTCATTCGTTAATTTATTTATACAGGAGACTGTAGATGTGTGGAAAAATGATTTTCCGTTGACAAGCTTCCACTGCACATCGCCGAGGAAGATGTTGCTCTCGAAGATGGACCCTAGTTGTTGCGTAGGCTTTTACTTTCCCAATAGGGAATCGCTCACCGATTTTATGGAGACGATTCGACGAGTAAGTGTACATATTTTTAACCTTAATATAATTCTCCAAGCGCAATTTAATTGCGGATAAGATAAGATCGATATCTCTTCTTGACTTATGAATCATTGTATTTTAGAGATAGAAAATAAGTCAAATCGAACCGATTATAAGAGTAAGATAAATAGAAAGATAAGATAAAATCTATATTTAATTTTATGTATAAGAAAAGAAAGAAAGAGAAGTCTCAAGATTAACATATTACAGTTCGTGATACCGAATCAGAAGACGAACTATCCAATGTTTCTGTTCTGCGAGGGAAGCGGCAAAGATCTCCAGCATGGTATCGAGGTCGTCGAAGGTCTCTTGCCGTCAACGAGTCCGTTCGTCAATCACGAGACACCGGAGGACGAGCTGTATGAGTCTGAAGAGTTCGAGTTACTGCAATAAGATAAAAAAAGGGAGGAAAAAAGAACAAACAAGTGATATTCAAATGAATATCGAGCATACTCTCGCGAAAATATCTTTACTCATAAGCGTCCAACATTTTTTCGCGGCAGTATTCTTTATATATTCGTTCCTCTGTAGCAAATGTAAAAAAACGTCGAAACAAACGTGAGTCGAATATTATATCGGAAAGATAAAATCGGAGTGCATGCGGAGAGCATCTCCATGATCTCAATGCGTGTTTGAGGATAAGATTCGAGTTTCACGCAATGACCAGTTATTGTTACTTACAAGGTAAGAAGTAAAGAAAGAGCAAGATATTATTCCCGACGATGTTCTAGTACAACTTAATCGATTAAACTGACCGTATATTTTTTCGATCATCTAATATGTATATATTATGCGCAATGAGAATGCACAATTTTTCTCATCTGATTATACACGATCTCGAAATACGTTGATCGTTTTATTATTCATTAATTAATAAGTAATATTAACTTGATATAACTTAATATCATAATAATTCAGTAACAATCATATTTATTTATTTCGCATGTGTATACAAAGCGGAAACGTTCATAAATATTGAAACAATTTTGCGAAGACGCGCATTTCATTGAATTTAAATCAAGAGAATATATGTTTGTAACAAGTTTTTGCTAAATTCTCTCTAAAATATATGAAACGAAAGTCCGCGCGGATATAAGAGAACGCGACAGTTCTCACAAGTCTGATTTACTTAAAGAAAAACATAATAAAGCATTAATTTATTTATTTATTTATTTTTTTACGACTGAAGTCCTGAGTAATTTCTGCCTTGAAAAAGGAATAACGAAGGATTCGTTAGGAACGTGAGCATGGCATATACAGGGTGAAGCAGCTAATAGTGTACGCCTAAATATCCGTTTAAGAAAGATCTGACATCTGTATCTATTTATACATATATCTATAAATAAAAGAATCGATATTTAAAAATATGTATGTACCTAACGATATGTTAATGAAATTTTCGAAATTTCAAACACTTTTACTCTTCTTAAATGAATTTTTTCTCTATTATTATATAGTCCTATCTTTAAATTGTACTTTATCTTTAAAAATATTTTCGACAATACGACAAGAATGTCTAAAGTAGAAGAAAGTAGAATATATAATAGGATATAGAAAATTAATTACTTAATTTTTCGCATTTCGAGATTATTCAAGGGTTAAGAAGCAAAAGAAAGAAGTATATAATAACAGTATAGAAGCAGATAATACTCAAGTGTGATGACAAATAAAAAAAAAATCTATAATTCTAAACATATATAATAAATCTCTATATAAAAATAGAAAAGTAAGAATAAAAAAGAAGACTAGTTAAAAAATCATTTAGATGTATTCTATTGGAGAGATATGCCTCACCCTGTATACATATATATATTTACATATATATATGGGAATATTGTACTTATATTGTTAAAGCTGTACACGCGTAATATTGAACGTTGTTATATATCTCTCTTACATCGATAACGCTATATACGTTGGAAATAAAGTGAGAAATGTGTGGCGATTACATGGCGATTAATCCTAGAATCACTACTTTGTACTATACCTTGAACTTTGGCCAAGCAAGTTAACTCGCAAATACATACTATATTCATAAAAAAAGATAATCGCAAAAAGATAACCGACGCATAGCTCGCGTTTATTTCAATACTCAACTTTGTTTCAGCTCACTTTGCAAAAGTCTAACTAAAAATTAATACGACACGGTAAACATATACAGGGTGTCCCGAAAGTATTCCATTAAATATCGCGAAAAGTTTTTCTAAACCACTCGTAAAAATTATGTCTCGATAATTTCTTGCTAACTGTAAGGGAAAAAATTCCTTTATTAAAGGAACATTTAGTACTTCTGGGACACTTTGTATATTCGTTACTGCTTTTATATATATATATAATTGGCTAATAGTATATGTAATTCTCGCGCGCTAGGTACAGTTGTTACAATATGACTATCGTTGCCGTTCAACATATTGAATTATTATAAGATCTCGTTGGATTATCTCGGTGTTGCGCGTCGAAAACATCTATTATTGTCGATACGATATCGCGTATATGCAAGTAATGTGATTCATGCGTGTGTGCGTTTGTTGTATGTGTGAATGAGAAAGCAAATTGCGCGCAACGTTATAGTACGCGTTCTCTCTGTGTTATTGCAGGACAAGAGTGCTTATTATTTGAGATCGTGTGCGCGGTTCGCGAATTGGATAGAGATCCCAGATAGGTTTAAATAGATCTGTTTATCTCAATCTTTTAATATGTAAGAATGTAGAAATATTCTTAGATATAATTTTCGGACTCTATCTAATCTTGTTTTTTTCTACATCTGTGTACGTGTGGATCTAATTTTCAAATATGTAAAAATTATATATAGATTGAAAAAGATATAGCCCCACAAACAGATCTAAACACAGATCTAAGTAGACCTATTTAAGGATCAGAGAGAAAGAGGGAGGATCTATTCGAGATGATCATCCGCGTACATTTAAATATATTTATCTAAAAAAAATTGATCTAAAATTCAAAAGTTTTGTGCTATACATTTTCTAATTTCCGGCCACATTTCATCAGTAGTGTTACCGTGAAAGTCCTTCAATATTCCAATCTCACGATAAAACCGCACGACCGGCTCAGTCTTCGTCGCGTAGTCTTGCAGCCTCCTCTGCACGACTTCCGGTTTGTCGTCCTCTCTCTGACTCAACGGCTCGCCCGTTACGTCATCCTTGCCCTGCGAAAAGATTTTAGCGTATTGAACGTCAAACCAATTATCCATTGTTTATGTTATAAATTAATAGAGGTCTACTATTTTATAGCATAATAGAAGACTCTATTGTTTCATATCATGTCAAAACGTTATACAAGTCTTATTATGTTATAATCGCAATTATGTAATAGTATAATATTAGGTCGCTTATATAGTTTTGCACTGTTTTATACTCTTTCTGCGTGCTTAAAGTATAAGGGGCGATAATATTTATTGCGTGATTACCGGCACTCGTGGATCGTTGAAGCCGATATTGTAGACCCTACCGCTAGGTAAATGCACCCATCTACTCTTGACGCGGTCCAGTATGACGAAGGTCGGCACCACGAGATTTATCACGAGATTGATCGGCTGCAGCTTCTGCAATCGCTCCGCCTGCGTCAGCGTCCTCGGGAATCCTGCGCCGATGCCAAGATATTTGTATCCACGTTTAAAACTCAGCCAGCACACAAACTTAAAACGACCTTGACTGCGATAGTCAAGATGCGGCAGCGTCATTTCCTTCACTCACCGTCCAGCAACCAATTCTGATCCGCCACCGATTGGATCTCCTCGCCGATGAGGGATATCATCGTGTTATCCGGTACGAAGCTACCGCTGTCCATGTACTTCTTTACCTCCCTGCCTAGATCTGTAAATAGATGAATACAACGCATATATGCATTAAAAAAAAATCTATTTAATTATAAAATCACGGAAAAATGTTCCGTTTTATCGAAAATGTCGATTCGATTGTATTTTTAAAATTATAACAATGATAAAATTATAACAAAAATGAGATAAGAATGCGAGAAAAGGAAGAAATGAAGAATTCTGATTTTATCGAGATTATAATGACTCAAGTATATATTATTTCGCAAGTATTGACGTCACGTACTGGTGCCGGTGGACACGTGGAGACGCAATCTATCGCCGCTGGAGATGTGCGTGACGCCGAATTGCTGGACGATCCTCGTGGACATGGTGCCCTTGCCGGATGCCGGCGCGCCGAGTATCACGGCCCTGAGGACCGCGGCGGCGCGACACGTGGTGATCGCCACCATGAGAAATTCGATTTACAACGGCTGACTTGCTCCGATGATCGACCGAAGAGTGCGGCGGGAATGTTGCGAGAATCCGCATGGTCTGGACCCTACTCTTCCTGCCTCTTCCTTTCCCCTCTCTTCCCCGCTACTACTGCTACCGCGCGGGCTTTGACAAGGCAAGGTAATAATCAGCTGACGGAGATGTGACGTGATGCGTCATGACGTAACCGTCGCCGTCGTTTCGTAATCGTCATCGCGCAGGCCCATCATCGGAAATGATGATGAACGAGATGCATCTTCTTCCCGCATATGTACGCATAGGACTTGAATCAATTAATGATATAGATTTATTTATTATTCTAATACATTATTATTAATTTATTAATTATTCCGAAAAAACAATGGCATTCATTCTAAGGTTCAAAATTTGCGAAGAAAGTACAGTTTGATGGAATTTTCCAGATTGTTCGAAAATCTAAATAGCATAATGCACTGATAATTTTCCAATAATTATCTGAGAATCGATTAAACATGGCAAAAAATTGCCCATCATTTAACGTCACGTTTTGAAAGAATAGCCGCCAAAACAATGTGACGTCACGTACTATTGAGCGATTAGGTTGCGTTCAAAAATCTACGCGGAATACAGTCACATTTGATTGACCAATCACGACAGGAGAAGCAAAGCTTTCCGATTGGTCGATCAATGTTACTACACTCGATAGGTTTTCGAACGCAACCCTCGGTACGTCACGCATTTTCGAGTTGGCGGCAAGACGGCCATGTTGGTTTTTTAGAAATCGAGAAATTCTCTGTAGCTTTTTCTCGCATAAATATCGAGAAGCGAATCGCGAGATCTATCCTATTAAATTAATTAATTTTCAGTTTGCAGTTATGTCGGAGGATCCTCATCAAGAGATGCTCGATCAGATCAATAAAGCGCAGATGGAACTGAAAATCAGGCTCGAACAGGTGTCGAAGCTCAGGAGTGAGTATATATTCTCAAACCTTTCCTCAAAGATTTTAATTAACCGAGTTAAGCCGAACAAAAATTCAATTTCGTTTACGTTGCAGTTGATTGCGCGAGAATGCAACTGGAATTATTAAAGCTTTACAAGCCGCAATGTTTGGAGATACTGGAATCGTTGCGGATCGTTTCCGAGCCCGCGGGTCCCCCCGGCAATGATGATGATGACGAAGACGTCATCGGGTCGCGCATTGATAACGAGAAGGTATTTATGTTGAAATATATTTATTACATTTTGAATATAGGACTGACACATCGACCGTGTATCCGTAACGCCGTTTATAACGTAAACGCTTGATATAATAGACAGTAAATAGATATAGACTCATTGGAAGCTGCGTCGAGTATCTCTCTCGTTTCTCTCTCTCTCTCTCTCCCTCTCTCTCCCCATCCCTCGCACATTTTCCATCCTTCTCTTTCATCTCGGCGCGTATATTAGAGCGTGCGAAAACTTATTATATAAATAAATGGACGCTAATCTTATCCTCGCTGAAATTTTTCGACGCGAGTATTTTTTTTTTATTTTTTATTTTTATTTTTATTACACATATATACGGAAGTTAGAGGAAATAGACGCGCTCGCGGCGACATGTTTTTTTATTTTTTCGTTTTCTTGCTCTTTAGATACTTAACGTTGATTTACATATATGCTTGTATTTCCATTCGATTTCACGCCCGATTTCATTTGCGAGGCGCTCGTCCAGAAATGTCGTTTGAACATATATACGCAAAATGTTCGGTGTCGTCGTGATTGTGATCTGTGTTGCGGGTCTCGTTACATTATTGTCCCTATAATTCATTAATCTCGTTGTTTAATTCAGCGGAAGAGAAAGGAGGTCGTGGTTTGAAAAACCGTTCGCGCGAATGGCACACCTCGCAAATAGATAAAACGCCTTTTTTGTCTCTCGTTAATTAAATATATTACCTACTTATTTCCAAATTCAAAACTCTTCAATTTTCGAAATTTCAAACACTTTTACTCTTCTTAAATGAATTTTTTCTCTATTATTATATAGTCCTATCTTTAAATTGTACTTTATCTTTAAAAATATTTTCGACAATACGACAAGAATGTCTAAAGTAGAAGAAAGTAGAATATATAATAGGATATAGAAAATTAATTACTTAATTTTTCGCATTTCGAGATTATTCAAGGGTTAAGAAGCAAAAGAAAGAAGTATATAATAACAGTATAGAAGCAGATAATACTCAAGTATGAAGGAGCGTCGTGTGTAAAAGGAGCTGGATCGAGTCGAGTCGTATTTGTTCGAAATCTGAATTCGCGGTCTCGAATCGAAAGAAAACGGATATTCAAATTATATTTTTCTTCCTCCGATTTTTCTTCCGACAAACGATATAATTCCCGCTAGTTATCCTGATCCAGTTTATTTCGATTCGAGAACAACCTTTCGTGTGCCAGCCCATTAACCCTCAGCGGATACCGCGGGATCTCTCAGAGACTCTACTAATTAAAAAAGAAACATTACAGCAAAAAAAGTCTGACGCATACATTCATATTACATACTGCACGCACACATACAAGATGATATGATCAAAATCAGTCCTTTATAAGACTCTTTTGAATAATTTTTTCTCTAAATGGAGGCTCATTAGAGATTACAGAAACTTATAATAAAATTCGCGATATCCGCTGAGGGTTAATTTCTCGATTTATCCTTTATTATGCGAACATCCTGTTACGGTGAGCCGCCGATTATCCGGACGAAACATTCTCAGGGTGAACGAAAAAAATAAACTTAAAAATCACAATTGTCAAACAATATAAATATGTATATATAACAACAACAGAGTCTTGATAAAAATCATGACGGATCTTCGTATTCAGATCTCGTTGAGATTAGGTTTCAGGGGGAAATGAATCGTTCGGATATCCGGACAATTGGCGGTCGGACCGTAATATCACCGGCGCAGAACCGGAGCCTTCACCCACGTGGTCTCGTTCTTATCGCTCGGACATGGTTTGCTGCAACGCGTCGAGGGCGCCCGTGTGGTGAGGACGGCGACTCGGTGCCTCGTACATCATCGGCGGCGCGCGGAAGTACCGGTATCGCGCGTGATAACGCCGTATGCAGGAATCCGCGCGACACTTGGCGGCCGCGGTCGCCGGCGGCTGCAGCTGTGACAGGAGCACCGCGGCGTTCGCGCACGATTGTCGCTCGGCGTAGCGGGTCTCGGACGTCGCCGCCGTCAACCGGCTCGATAATTGTCCTTCCCTGGAGTCCAACGCGTCGCATACCTTGCGGGTCTCCAGCGCGTAATTGACGGCGCAGGGTAGCAGCGTCGCCATTTCCTCGTCCTGCACCTAGTGCAACGATAATAAAGCGCTCGTTACAACAGGGAATATCTTTCTGTGTAAAATATTAGAAAAAAGTACCTGAATATTAGGGAGAGATTCTAAGAATATTTTGATGTAAAAAATATATATTTTTTATTATATTTTAAAAAAATATTTGAAGACAAGTTTGGAATTATGGATTTAAAGGATGCTTTTCACGTGTTTTATGAAATTTTAAGCTATTATAGATTGATTTATATATAATTTTCCAAAATTGTATTATTGTATTGATTGGATCACAAATCTGTGTAATGAAAAGATATAGATTGAATGGACGTACGCAAGCTTTACAGATCTGCAGCTTCACGCAGGGCACGTAAAGCATCCGAGATGTATCGCCGGCGAGATTGTCCACGTTTCGGCATCGCCATTCAATGGCTTCTAATTCCGGGCAGCTTTTAGGTTCCTCGATGACTATATAATCCACACAATTGTATATCATATAATCTATATATAGCTGTTGTTCAAACAGATTCATTAAATTATAGATAATAAAATTATAGGAGACAGAAATTTAAAAAGATTGGATAGGCTCGCAGAAAAAGTCTTTGTGAAAATTTTAATTTAACAAATCGTGATAAAACATGTGACGTTCTGTTATTTTGCTATTATTGTTAGAGTTAAATCTGGAGATTTTTCTGTATAATTTACATAATTTTTTGTATGATTCTCTAATCTTTTCTCGCATACTTACATTCGCCATCGTCTACATTATTATTGATAGCGCTCCGTTTATCATCCGTTTTACCACCGTTGCCGCTGTTACTGTTTGCGTTGCTATTCTCGCGGAAATTCGACGTCTGATTATTCTCCTTCTGCATCCTTTGCGCCTCTTTCTGAGCCAGGATGGTTTTTAGGAGCTCGTTCAGCACCTTGCGCATCTTCTGCATCGAGTAAGCCGCCGCCATTTGCGCCATTAATTTATCCTTCACCTAAACATTTTTATAAATTTTATTTCATTTTATTAATCATTATTTGTGTCAATATCTTTTTAAGATTCATATTTTTCTTGTACATTTTCCACTTAAATCGTAATTATAATGCAGAGAATAATAATTAAACCAATTCAATCTAATTTTAATTATACTTTCTAAAAGTGTTGATATTTAAATCGTGAAATAATTAATAATTTTGAGAATAGAGGTACTCTTTTGAGGTACTCTCTGAAAAAAATGTCACATTTTCTTATATATATTAAATTAAATTAATTTTATTTTTATAATCAAACCAATTACGTCGCGAAAATATAGAACAAAATTACCTTCTGCAGATCCGTCTCCTCCTCCTTTTTTGGAATATGCCAAAATTCCGAATCCATCTGCTCGAGATTTTCTTTTCGCTCGTTCTCGTCATTCTTTGGTTTTAAATTCTCAGCCATATTCTGTTAAGATTTACAAACGCCTTAATTATCATTTATTCCATAAGAAACCGCGCGATCTATGGTTTTTAATATAATTTAATATAAATT